GCAGCAGGTCGGGGGTCAGTAGGCCTGCGGGCACTGGTCCCGCCCCCAGCCCCAAATCACGCAGGCCCAGGCCGGTGCCCCGCCCCGCCCCGTCAGCCCCGCCCCCTCAGGCTCACCTGGCGCAAGTAGAGTTTGAGGACGTTGCTGATGTCGTGAGGCGAGGCCTGCGACAGCTCCACCAGCTCCTTGCCGTTCTCGAAAGCTTGGCACAGCTTCTCCACGCGCGTCTTCACCCCGTTTACGCGGTAGATGCCCTGCGGGGTGCGCGGGGGGCACCCGCAGTCAGCCTCTACCACACCCTCCTTCCCGCGCCCCCCAGGACTGGCCCCAGCCTCCACCCCGAGGTCACCTTGGTGCGCAGTGCCCGCCGCTCGATCTCACAGATGCACTTCTTGAGGATGAAGGGCACGCCGTCCGGGGTGCCGCGGGCCGCCTGGCTGAAGTCCTGGCCGAAGAGCTGCAGGCGGCCCTGAAGTTTCTTGTGGCCGCACTGGATGGCCAGGGTCTCCAGACACTTCTTGTGGCAGGCCAGGCAGCACTGCGGGGGGCGGGGGGGTTGGCAGTGAGCGGGCAGCCCTGGCTGCCCCCCAATCTCTGAAGCTCTCAGGACCTTGCCTGCAGGGCAGCTCTCGAAAACACGAAGGGACCGTGGCTGCCGAGCCCCCTGCCCCAGCTCTGCACGCGGTGCCTGGCTCCTCGGCCCCGCGTCCCTGGGGCCACTCACCTCCTCACACTCCGCACCCTGGAAGTAGACGTAACTGTTGCATTCCCGGCACTTGGCCGGTGAGCGCAGCTTACGGAGCCGGTGCGTGCGAGCGGCCTTGGACAGCCCCGTGTGGCGGAAGGGCCCACTGGGCACAGCCACTGGGAGCTCGGGGGCTGTGCCGTTGAGGTCAGCTGGGGGCGCAGACACGTGGTCATTGTCACAGAGGTAAGTCAGGACCAGGCCCACAGCCGAGCCCAAACCCTCCTCACCCCACCACCCAGATCAGAGGCCTCCTCACCCTGCTCAAAGGCTGAAGTCCCCACACCGCCCTCCTGGTCTGCCAGCTCCTCACTGGATGACATGGTACCACTGGACATGCGCTCGAACTTCTTAAAGTCTCCTGAGCAGGAAATAGGGGCATCGGACACCCTGAGCCAGGAGCGAGCGGGCCTCTGGCAGGCCAGTTGCTCCCAAGAGCCCCCACTGGCACTCTCCATCAACAGGGGACATGGTGAGCTCCGCCCCCCGGCCGGCAGGTAGGTCCTTCACCTGAGCCAGGGCTGGGGTTCAGGCCGCCCTCGGAGTCGGAGATGGAGATGGGCCAGGACTTGTGCACCTGGTGGCCACGCCCACCTGCAGAAAGGGCGTCTCCAGTGAAGGCTGCGGGGACACCGCGCTACCCCACTCGGCACTCACCCCCGCTGGGCACTCGCCCCCGCCGGGCACTCACCCCTGCGCTCCTTGGCAAGGCCCCCGTCACTGGGCCCGCCTTCCTCCGGGGTGCTGCCGGTGGCCTCTGCTCCCACATCTGGGACGTTGAAGCTGCCCTTCCGGTCACGCATGACCGGGGACCTGGTGGGACCAACAGCCAGAGGGGTCATGGCGGGGGGCGGGGCCATGGCGGGAGGTCACAGCAGGCCACATGTCCGGCGGGAAGCCAGCCCCCCCGGGCACATGCAGGTGACCGTACCAGGTGCTGGCGGAGACGTGGGGCTCGAAGTCATAGTCCACGTCAGGCTCGTCGTCCCGCTGCAGCTGGCGCACGTGGGACGCGTACTGCTGGCCCGGGTCGTACAGCTTGCTGCTCTCACACAGCATCTGGAAGTGCACGGGCAGCGGCGCCGTCTGCATGTGCATCATCTGGTAGTAGGAGATGGTGGCCTGTGGGCGGCAGGGGGAGGGGGTCCGGTCAGGAGCCTGGGCCAGCGGCGGCCCCGCCTCCCCACGGCTGGAGCCGGGGCGCGACCGGCACCCACCGACTTGATGGTCTGGTCGCTCTGCCGGATGACCTCCTGGATCTGCCGGAGCACCGTCACCTTGGTGTCTTCCAGCTCCTGCTTCTGCGTCTTGGCGTCCGCCACGCACGTGCGGTACGTGGCCATGGCTTCTTCCGCCTGGAGTGGGACAGAGGGGGCGCCCAGCGAGGCCTCAGCCTGGGGCTCTGGCCCCACACAGACACCCGGCCGGCAGGACGCACACCCTGGACAAAGGCCCGAGGCGGGAAGTCGGCACCGCGGGCCCACGACTGTCACCACCGGGCCCTGCCCTCACCTTGTTCTTGGCCTCCTCCACCAGGCGCCGCCGCTTGTCCAGGGCCTTGGAGGCGGTGCCCCCGGCCCCAGGCCCAGTGCCCGCCTGATCCTCCTCCGCCTTGGCCACCAGGTGGCGGGCCTTGTCGTGGTCCTCAATGCGCTGCCCATAACCCTGCTTGGCCTTGCGAAGGTTGGACTCTGCCTCTTGCTACGGGCATGGGACGAGGAGACCAGTTCTAAGCTGTCCTCCCCCAAGGCACAGCGTCCCCTGGCTTCCGCCTCCCTCCCCACCGCAGCGGCCAGACACCGGGTCGGGCACCTCCAGCACCCGCGTCTCTTGTGCTGAGGTCTCGTGGCACACTCAGGCAAACAGGCCCCAACCTAGCAACTGACAGTCGAGAAAGGTGACACATATGGTGGGACCTCAGGAGGAAGCCGCCTCTGCTGTGCCCATGCGACAGCCCGGGAAGCTGAGGCACAGCCAAGATCTGAACAAGGCACCAGCGACATCAACCCCAACACCTACAGCCCCGCCCCCACCAGGGTGCCGGCATCGCCTGCTCCGTCTCTCACTTCCCGTTACAGACGGGGACAGTGTGGTCGCCCAAGCAGGAAGCCACGCACCCTCTGGGTTGGCAGGTAGCGCACTTAGTCAAAACCTACGAGGCTTCCGGGGCCACACCTCACAGCCCACACCATCAGAGGCCTAAACATGAAAAAAAGAACTCGTACAGGTACGAGAAGAAGGGGGGGTCGCCTGCTCCGTCTCTCACTTCCCGTTACAGACGGGGACAGTGTGGTCGCCCAAGCAGGAAGCCACGCACCCTCTGGGTTGGCAGGTAGCGCACTTAGTCAAAACCTACGAGCCTTCCGGGGCCACACCTCACAGCCCACACCATCAGAGGCCTAAACATGAAAAAAAGAACTCGTACAGGTACGAGAAGCGGGGCAGGTTCAAAATAACCACCATGTGGGGAAGGCCTTTCTACGTGTGACACGAAATCCAGAAACCATAACAAAAAAGACACCGCAGACAATCATGGTTTTCCACCTGGCCAAGCAAGCCCCAGGTCAATTCAAAAGTCCAAACAATACCCTGGAGGGCGGGGAGTGGGGGGGTGGAGGGGTCTCAGGCACACCATCACGGGACTGAGTTCTCGAACATGGAAGGAGCGCTCCCAGATGAACAAGAAACGGGCCACAGGCCAACCCAGAGGGAGCAAAGGGTACAGCCACAGGGATGTGCAGCTCGGGCTGGGACACGCTCACTCTGACCCAGCCAGCCCCTCCGGACACACGCCTGAAACGGACGCTTAGTCACACGGTCGGGAGCCGAGGCACAGGCCTGTCTCAGCAACGGTGTTTGAAATGACCTGGGCCCCAGGCCCCCACAGTGGAGCACCGGTAAGGAGCCCAGGACGAGGGAGGAGCTGCTCACGTGACTGAGGTGGGCTGAGCCTCTGATGTGGGGTGAGTGGGAGAGGCCAGGAGGGGAGCAGGGTGTTCAGCATGCTGTCCTCGAATGCACACGAGGGGGTGGGGGGAACATAGATTTGCCAGTATGTGCTGCGAGGGGCCACAGGACAGCACTGGCCTGAGAGCCTCAGTCTCCCTCCAACTCAGACGTGCTCCTCCCAGCTACGGAGACACCCTTTCCCACAACAACCTTTCCCATGACGTCTGAAGCCACAACAGTGGCTTCTGGGGAGCAGGGGCCTGGGGCCTGGGGCCTCCCCTGCGCAGCTGGGGCTGATGGGGCTGGAGCATCTTTGAGGCAAGACCAGCTCCAACCTGTGACAGCACAGCCAGCCCCACACCCGCACAGGCCACAGCGCCAGGTGTCCACAAAACACGGAAACCAGGGCACGGACTCGCGCCTGGGACTGCGCGTGCGCCGCGCCCGCCGCCGCCCCCGCTGGTACCAGTTTCCTCTGCGCGCGGTGCCACAGCTCCTTGATCTCCTTCCTGCGCTTCTCGTGCTCCAGCCGCCGCAAGTTCAGGGGCTAGAGCGAGACGAGCCGTGAGTGGGGGACCCCGGCACCCCCGGCCTCGCCTGCCCTTCCGGGTGCAGCCCACCTGCATGAAGGTCTGGGTCTGCAGCGTGCCCACCGCCTGCACCATGCCGTGGCCAAAGTCCAGGTCCTGCTCCAGGGCCAGCGAATAGATGGACAGGAGGGGCATGTGGGGCTGTGGGGGCGGGGCGGCGGTCACGGAGGTGGCACAACGCCCGGGCCCTCCCCAGTTCCCTTGGGCACCACGGCACAGATGGGGAGCCCCTTTCCTCCAGCCCTTTTCGGAGGGGCCCCTGTCCGGCGCCCCTGCCCGGCGCCCCGTGGCCGCACCTCCTGCATGACACTCTGTCTGCAGTTGTGGACGATCTTCTGCAGGCCTTTGGCGAAGTCCATCTCTGAGGGGCGGGGCAGAGGGGAAAGGGAGTGAGCGGGGAGCGGAGACGGGGAGGCGAGGGGAGGGCTGGTCCTCACCCAGGGCCCTCACCCAGAGTCGTGCGCTTCTCCAGGTAGCCAATGAGGTCCTTCATGTACTTGGCCATGTTCTTAGCGTAGTTCAGGGCCGCGTCCACGCCTCCCTCACAGCGCTGCAGCAGCTTGTCCACCTCCTCCGGCATCAGGCAGCCTGGGGGCGGGGCGGCCGCTCAGCCAGGTCGCCCCCAGCCGCCCCGAGGCCCCGCCCTCCGCCCCTGGCCCAGTGCAGCTGGGACTCACCCGGGTCACAGTCCTCAGCGCTGGGGGGCGTGCCCTCGCCCCCCTGTCCGTACAGGTTCTCCATGGACTGTGCAGGGGAAGACTCAGGTGAGTGGGGCCCCCGTCTGACGCCCGCCCTGCAGCAGACCTTTACCAATCCAGAGCGGGCCACCTCTGCTCACCTGGCTCGGGTCCCCAGGAGGCACCGACAGGAGGGTGCTGCTGTCCACTTCACCCATGAGAAACTCGGAAACACTGCAAGGGGGTGGGGTCAGCATCAGCATCGGCATCCAGAGGCACAGGCCAGCCCGTCCCCCGCCCCAGAGGCCACTGTGCTCACGTGCTGCTGAAGGAGACGGCGATGGTCTCCAGGGCCTTCTCAAACTCCTGCTTGTCCGCCTCATTGTTGCACTCGTAGTGGAAGGCTGGGGAGCAGAGACGACGGCAAGGTGGGGGTCAGCCCGCTCTGGGAGGTGGCCGCCCGGGCGACCAACCAAAGGAGGCCCGTAGCCCAGGGAGACAGAGCGCGGGAGCAAGCGTGCCCTGCCCATCAGGCTCCTACGCACCCTTCAAGACCCACTGCAGGCACCCATCCCCTCTTCCAGGAAGCCCTCCAGGGCACAGCGCCCCCCGTGGCCCTGTCTTGGCCGGCTGACCTTTGACCTTGGCAATGAGGGTGCCGGCGGCCGTGAGCGTCTCCACGGTGTTCAGCAGCGGGTACTTGCCGATGACCTGGCGCATCACTCGCAGGGCCTCACCCAGGCACTCGTGGGCCAGGGGCCGGCGGGCCTCCAGGAGCTCTGTGGCGGGGGCCAGGGCGGGTGTGAGCAGGGCGGGAGGAGGTGGCCCCAAGGAGAGCCCGCCCACCTGTCCCTCAAAGCTCCTGTCCCAGGTGGGGAGGCTGCCCGAGGCTCGCTGTGGCACCTCGAGTGGGACAGTGTCCTCCTGTGGGTTGCCGGCCAGGGCGGCAAAGGTCAGTCCTTGGCTTAGGCTGTCCCTTCTGCTCAGAACACTCTCCTCGTCCCTCCAGAAAGCAGACTTCTGCTTGTCCTTCAAGTTCAGTCCTGGTGCCGCCTCCTCCATGCAGCCCAGCTGGCCCTTCCCCTGCTCCTGCCCCTCGAGACACTCAAGACTCTGTCCAGCTTCCTCCCTGCCTTCCTGGGCCCTGGGCCATGGCACCCTCTCATCTCACTGCCTCCCGACAGCCAGCCCAGGAGGCAGGCACCTCACATCCCCATTTCGCAGATGAAGAAACTGAGGCACAGGGGAAGCCCCTTCTCTTGGTTCATGCGGCTTTTCCACCTGCACTGTGTTTGAAGGCATGAGAATGGCAGGCAGAAAGACCCTGCCTGGCTTTACCTTGAGGACCCTGGGGAGCCACAGAAGGTGGCAGGGCAGAGGAGGGCGGCAGTCAGCTCTGACTCCGAGCTGCAGCTTTAACGTGCCCTCCAGAACATTCTTAAAAGCAACGCGAGCGAGCAGATCCGTGCACGGAAAACACGTCGTGGAGCAGAAGCAAAACTATATTGCAAGTAGGGATCAGCCAGGTGCTAAGCCCAGGGGCGCCTGGCGGCCGGCCAGGACAGCTTTGAGGCCCGTGTAGACACTGTTCTAAAAGGTAAGTGGGACCTGAAAATAAGTGCCTTGTCCCTTTTCAGCGCTGGGGACCCCTTCTGAATAACCAGAGGTTCCACCAGGCACTGCCCTCGCCCGCCCCCCTCCCCGCACGCACCTCAGAACCTGGGGGTCCTGGCTCCACCGCCAACCCAAGGAGGTGGGAAGGGGCTTCAAGAATGCAGGGAGCTGGCTCCGGATAGGCCAGGACTCTCCCAGACCGTCCTTTCCCACACCCCGCCTCTCACCTCGGTGGCCTCGGGCCACCTGGGACCCTATGGCACCCCCACTGGGGAAGCTGAGGGCGGACTCCAGCAAAGCCTGAACATTCCCAGCTCGCACAGCCAAGCCGAGCCGAGCACGCGGCAGCTGCTGCGTCTCCAGCAGGACGCCTCAGATGTCCCAAGGGCCACGTGCTCCCGCAGGGCTGGGGGACCCCGCATCCTGCACTGTCCCCTCACCTCGGGGTCCCACGCAGCGGCACACGGGGCCCGGGGCCAGCACCGGGTGCGCCCTCCCACAGATACACATGGCGTGGCGATCGGGGTCCGGGAGCGCGGGGACCAGGAACACGTAGGATGGACGGCGGGCTGGTCGGGGTCTCTCGGCCAAACCGGCTCTGGCCGGCCCTGAGGCCCCGCCCCCAACGAGGGAAGCCCCGCCCCCGGCATCCTGCTTGCCCAGGCCAGGGTCCTCTGCTCCCCGGACTCAGGGCCCGCGCAGGAGTCTGGGACCCAGGGCGACGGGATTTGGGTGGGGCAGGCCAAGGGCAGGAGGGGGAAATTGAGGCCCAGAACCAAAGCACGGTCGTGTGAGGAGGCACCGGGAGACCCCGCTCTGCCCCGTGACCCTGGGTGACCGCTCCCTCTTGTTCTGACAGCACGGGGTTCCCAAGATGTAGGTGGGTCTCACTGTCCACTTAACAGTCACCACACGGGGAAAACGTCTGGTTACAGCCACTAACGCCCAAGGCAAATCCTTGCCAGTGTCACGGATAAGATACCTCATGCTTAGACACCAGTCAGCCGGCCCAGGGGCTCGGCTGGCTGAGCAGGGCAACCCTGCGGCTCGCGTCCCACACATCCTCTCTGCTCAGGCCCTTCCCCCAACTTGGGCGCCCCAGGCGCGGAGAAGGGCACCCGTACCCCGTCCAGACCCTGCATCGGCCCCACCCAGGCCTGGTCTCCAAGGAAGTGCCCAGAAAGGAACAGAGATTAGAGTCTCCCCAGGAAACAGCTCTGGCCCCACCCCTGGGACTCTGGCTCCCACCCCCACCCAGCAGGAGCCAGCCTCCCCAAAGAATCCCCAGTGAGTGCCCTGAAGGCACAGAGGCCCAGGCTGAGGTCGGAGGGGCTCTGCCCGCTCCCGGCTGGGTGAGCCTGGGGTCAGGGCTGGCGGCAGGCCTCCTCTTCCCCATCCCGTAAAACGGGGCCTGGGGGCAGCGGGTCACAGCGCCTGGCACGGCCCTGGCACTGTGGTTTCCGGGAGGGGTGGGCAGCACACGAGGTGCTGAGCCTGTCCTGCCCACCAGGGCTGCCAGGGACAAACAGGAAACAGATGAAAATAACTCGGCAGGAAGCTGGGCTGTCAAGTCGCGTGGAGGAGGAACCGGAACCACCATCCCACGGGCCGCTCACCCGGGGGGATCGCCTGCCATCCTGTCCCTGTCCCTGTCCCTCCTCCTGCCTCTCCCTGCCACACCTCGGCTTGCCTCCAGCCCACCCGGCCCAGCAACCTGGTCCTGCCTGTGCTCCAACACCTCCTGTGGCTCCCCACTTCCCTCAGTATGACGTCCAGTGTCCCCAATGCCTTCAGCTTCACACAGTCCACGTACCAGCGACACATCAAACCTCGTTCCCCCAAATGCGACTCCCCTTTGTGTTTCTGAGCCTGAGCACCTGACGTTCCCTTCACCCCAACTCCTACGCATCCCTCAAAGCCTTCACTGCAGTGGCTGCTTCCATGAAGCCCTCCCTGCCATACCCCCCATGAGGAGCCTCCCCCGGTCCCTCCCTCGACCCTGCCTCGACCCCACCAGGATATCTGTGTCCGGATCTGCCTTCCGCCCAGCCTCGGTGACCCTACTGGCCCTCACCGTCATGCAGAACACACTCCTTGAGCTTCTCTAGGCCCTCGGCGAAGCGGGCCACGTCCGCCAAGAGTTGGGAGATGTCCTCCACGGCGTCCGGGCAAGGTCCCTCAGCAGGTGGCTCGGCGGGGCTGGCCGCTGTCAGCGGGCTGCGGTGGCCCCGGCCTAGCGTCCAGGAACCGGCCCCGGACAGCGGGAAGCCAGCAGCGCTGGCATGGCGGCTCAGGCTGGTGGGCCTCTTGAGCGTGCCTGTGGCCTTGGCATTGGAGCTCAGTGGCTCCAGGCTGGGGCCCGGGTACACGGCATCGGCCCCGTCTCTCCTGGGCAGCTCCTGGGGGCAGGGGTAAAGCCACAGGTGCTCTGGTCCAGGCACTACTTCTTGTTCCCCAGAACAAGGTGGGGGTCTTCACCCTGACCCCACAGGGGTCAAAGGCCAGAGATCAGAGGGCTGAGATTTAGAGCCATGCCCCTCCCACACCTGTTACCCAACATCCTCTTCCCCAGAGCTTTCACAAACAACGGTCTCTACCTAAACCACAGCCAAGGGTGGGGTGGGGCGGGGGCGCGGGCACCCCACTTCCTGTTGGGGGCAGGAAGGGCCAGGAGAGAGTCCCAGCCCTGAAGCCCCCTCAGGCTGATGTAGACGCACCTACTCCCTGGTAAAGACGCCTGTCGATTCCTACACCCCGAGGGTCCCGGAGACCCCTGAGTCCCGCAGATACCCCCAAACTATGCAGACCCCAGGGCTCTGGAGGCGCTAAGCCAAGGGACCCCAGTAGAGGTTCCGGTAGAGGTTCGGCTGCATCCTAAACCTTCCGCCCAGTGGTGTGCCGGCCATGGCGCTGGCGTCCAACCGCATTGGAGTCCCCAATTCCCTGAGCCCCCATCCTATGGAGTCCCTGACCCAATGCCACCCCCATCCTGGTCCCTGGACCCCACAGCTGGCCCTGGATGGGTGGGGGTGGGAGCCAGAACTGACCATCACAGAGGGCTCCTACCGTGAGCTGAACGCCAGGGTCCCCGTCAGCACTGCCGGGCCCCTGGCGGCCCGCCTGGTGGGGGCTGTAGCTGGCCCGAGCCCCCCACCGCCGGCCCAGCATGTTGCCGCCAGGCCCCTGCCTTGCTGCCAGAGCAGAGAGCGGGCCCCTGTCGCTCCGAGGTTCCCGCCCGCTCCACCTCCCCGAAGAGGCTCGCTCACCCCGGAGGGCTGCGGGCTGGGGCTTCCCGCCCGGTTCTTTTTCGAGATGGAAGGGGTTTTCATGAGTTCCCGCTTCTTCCTGGAGAACATGGTGCGGCCGGCCAAGCAGCCCAGGCCGGTGGGCTGGGTCAGGCAGGCCGGGAGCGACTCAGCGCTGCAGCTCCTGGAGCTGACCACCTCGGGACCACATTGTCGGCAGCCACCCCCTCCCCAGCTGTCAGGCCCATGTGACAGGCCCAGCCCTCATTGGCGGGCCCTCCCCCCACAGGAAAAGGCCTCCGGAGGTGGTGACGCAGACCCACCCCACCACCTCCCGGGGCCTCAGCCTGCCCCTCCGCAGAGTGGGCTTGACGGTGGGGTCCCAGGCCCCGCCCCGGCCCCGCCTTGGCCCCGCCTCCGGCTTTCACTTTCGGGGCCCCTGCACGGTTCCCTGGGCGCACCCGCCAGCATTGGGGAAGCACACGGTGGCTGATGACACAGGTGCTGACCCTCACTCAGACACGCCCAGACGCAACCAGGAATACACGGGCACGCAGGTGCGGTGACGCGCAGGGACGCGGGAACACCGAAAGCCCCCAGGCTCGGACTTCACGAAGCACCGTACATTAGCCACACATTAACCCGATGACTCCGCGCTTCACCCCCTGACCCGACGCAGGACCCCCTCCCCTCTTGTGGACACCCCTCTCCCCCCCCCACCGCCACCGCAGACCCTGGGGCATGGCGGGTCACCCGCTCAGCCCAGCACCTGCTCAGCTCCGCTCCCTACCCCCACCCTGCTGGGCTGTGGGGCCGACAACACCCGAGGCCCCGTGCGCCTCCTCAAGCTGCCGGCTTGAGAGGGGGGGCTTCAGTCCCGTGTATGGGACTGAAGGAGAATCCCCACCTTTCTCTCCCCTCCCGGGCCCCTCCCTTCACGATTCCCGATCTCTTGGAGCCCTTCACCCCGATCTGAGCCCTCTCCCCTCTCCTCCCAGAGTCCCACTCCTCAGTCCCCAATACCTTTAGCCAACGCGACCCTCACTGACTGCAGGTGGCAATGGCGGATCTCTGGGGCACAGGGCATGTGGGCCACAGCCCTTCATGCCCATCCGGGCTCCCGAGGCCCAGGTCCACCCACAAACCCAGCCTAGAAGTCCCTTGACGGTTTTCCACCCACCACTCATTGCTCTGGGAGCCAGCACCAAAAAGTGAGGGCTGGCAGGCGGGAGGGGTCCTGGCCTGGTGGGGAGGCCTGAGGTTCCGGCCACCCTGCCTGCCTCCTCCAAGCCCCTCCGGACATCCCC